TTGAGGTAAAAATTAGGCCATAAAGCGCAGGTATTGCTTCTAGGCGGGTTACCTGTGTGATTGACAGGTCGATCCTCTCAGGTGATCCGTCCAGCTCAACGCACCAAACTCAGATCATAACCTTGTCGAAACGGTAGGCAGTGCTGATCAGATATGAAGCAACATTTTGTTACTGCGCTGATTTATTTCCTAAAATCGTTTCAGAAACATATTATAGTGTACTGTCCCAGGCGAGCCACCATTGTTTCCTGCTACAGACAAGTAGTAACTGTGCAGCCAATGAGAGCAGCTCAACGTCACCTCCACTGGCTCCGTACAACTGTCATGGCGACGAGCATACTGCCAAACTGAAGGCCTCAAAGCAGTACTTCACAAACCGTGAGTGACGTCATGATTCACACTTGGCTGGAAGGGAAGCTTTGGCACTTTTGCTTGAAAAGTAACAATTACTTAATAGGCGTTAACTAATAAGGCACAGTCCTGAACATTCGTTATTTAAAAGCCTTGATTAAATGGTTTTACAAAATGATTCCTCTAATAAGAATTTCCTCTAATTAGTCATTTAAAACATACTTAATAGATTACTAATTAAAATCATTAGTTGGAACTATGTTCCACATAAAGAACAAATGAGTAGAACTTGCATATATGTGTATCCTGCTGCTTGAGCTGCTGGAATGGTGATTCACTGTGGTTAATTGGGCACATTCCTGATATTCTCTGTTAATTAACAGAGTACAAAACAGAGATTGCTGTCATCATTTATATTCAACTTCTTATAACAACAGTATTCTCTAAAACCATTCTAAGCAATCACTTGATAATTTTAAACATACGGTTTTAGCTGCAAACATATACTTAAACACAACTTCACAATGACAAGCACCAGTTCCATGAAATGAAAGTGTGAAAACATTCGTCCAAACATCGAAAAAGACAAAAAAGGAATGAGGTATTAAAGTATAACACCTTCCCAAAGAAAGACCAAGCACTGAACAGAACTCCCGGGACAGTCATAGTGAGAGCACAGGCAGGGGGAGCGGGCTGAGCTTCCTGCACAAAGTATTCATTACAGCCTTCCCCTCATGTCTTAACATGTTCTAACACACCTTCCTACTTCACCCTCTAGGCACACACTTTCCACAGAAACCCCCAATAATGCCCTGAAACCACTGTTTCTGTAGAAACACACACACACTTAACAGCCTACATGTTACTGCTGACGGACGAGTGTTCACATTCACTCAGCTCATTAGTGAGCACAGGGCGTTCAATAAGATCTAACCAAATCATCAGGCTAAACACAGCCTCATTGCGTCTATAATCTACACTGCATCTTTATTTGTGTACTCAGCTATAGCAGTGATTTAAAAATATGGTTTGTAGGCAATAAGAGACCTCTGCTGTGATGAATGCAGTTTTAAAATTGAGTCACTGAACTAAAGAGAATATTTTCCATGATTTCCAGCATTGCCAATCTGTAGGTTCAAGGTCAGTAGAGCTCAAGTCTGCACATTG